CTGGGAATAAGAAGATCTGAATTTTATAGTTAAGCTCTGACTTCAGACTTCCAGATCTATTTGACCTTGACAAGTCACCAAACTTCTTAAGTGTTTGTTTCCGTATCAGCGAGACTGAGAATTACCTTAATGAGTAAAGATTGATATTTACAAACACTTCGAGAGTCCAAGATGCTACATTTGTATGTATCATGTTAACCTGGCAATTTGGGTGGAGAGAGTACCCCATCTGTTTATGGAAAAAGGAGAAGTCAGCTTTAAAAAACAAAATCCTGCTGCTCCTGACAAGGAAAATGGATGCTGTTTTTATTTTATATGTTGCTGCACAAATGTCTTTCTTAAAAGGATGGCATTTTTTTTCCCCATTTCCAGCAAGAAAACTTGGGAAAATAAATGATACAGTTATGCCGAAAAGAAACGATGGAATTAAATACACTGTTAACGCTAAAAAATTGAATCTACATCATTATCTGCTTTCATGTTTGACGGTTTTGTTACAATTGTATTCCAAGTGTTGAGCCTCGCAGAGCCTAGAATGAGAAGATGGTGGGGGAGACCAAGAGAGTAAATTGTTTCTTATGGATAATCTTAAAATACACTTAATTTAAGGTTGTCTGTAGACGTTGAAAACCTATGAGAGTGTGTGTTTGACATTGACAGCGGAGATTAATCAGCCAAAGAAATGTCAGCAATACGAGTCAATTACGTCAGATAACTGCTGTGCCTTATTGTCAGTAAATTACAAAGCATATTTTTAATAACAGAAGACCTTTCTGCACTTTCAGTAACAAAAAATGATCATGTGTGAAGCGCTGTATCTCTTTACCTCTTTAGAACAATATTAGTCATGGCTGGCTGTGAGTGTATGTTGACAGTCCAGCAGTTTTGATTAAATGAGGCTGGGAATGCATCTACAAAATGAACAGCAGGCAATCTGATCAAAGCTTTATTCTTATATCCTAGTTTTCTAAAGTAATAATGTAGTTTCAGTCATTTCATTAACTAGTAAATAATTATTTGTAGCATTCTTGTTTTCTTACATTGCTGCAGTAAAGTGAACAATTCTCAAATGTAAAAGCTTAATACAGCTTTAATTGATCAAAATTGAGCGCAGGCACTTGATCTTCTCAGCATCTTGTATGGCACTGCAGCTGTTCGAGGCATCTTCTGATTGGTGTCTGTGCCAAAAGATCCTTGTGTTTGTACTGGTAATAAGAGAATCATTGCTTTGACTTCCCTTATTCAGACATCATCTGCAAATACTGTTTAAAAAATTTAGGACATCTTAAAATGTTTCTTCTCCAAGCTGGTAGGCCTAAAACTCAATTAATGAGAATTACTTAAAGAATTAAGTCAAGTACACACCTCTGTGCAGATGACTGAATCAGACAACGGCAAGAAATGTAGCTTGAAGGAATCTGGGTCATCTCCAGGCACGTTCCTGGTGTTGAAGAAGCAACTGCGAGTGCAGCTTTGTTGGTATGTCGTAGTTAAGTTGTGTAAGGTCATCTTGCTACAGTTGGTATCCTGGATGATTTTGTAACCTGTTTCCTAACAGATATAGAAGAAACTCGATGTCTTCGCTTCTTTCCTTCTAGTAGTTTAGAAATAACCATGTTTTCACTCTAAATTTGAGGACGGAGCATGATACTGCTACTACAAAAAGCCATCTTCAGCATGTTGCAAATGGTGTTATTTTTTTCTCCCTTTGTAACTGATGGTTTATCCTGTTTCTTTCGTTCATGCTGTCAGAAAGTGCTTTCTGCAGGTTCATATGAAATAAATAAAAAACACCCCAGCTTCATCCCAAAGATTACATTGGTGTGCATGTTGGAAGGTGGAAAAAAAACCAACTTGTGCTTAGCTGTACCTTGATAACAAGGTGGAAATTTCTATCTAGAATCAGTCATTTTAGGTACCTTTTCAATCCTTACGTGTTTTTAATTGTAGGTTACAGTCTAAAGAACCCATTTCAACATACCTCACATGCACCATGACACTTGAAAAGCTGCCATGAGTAGGCACGGTTGTCAGCTATGAAGAGCAGGCTTTGAAGTATTTGTTTTAGTACTTTGAGATTTATGTCTTGAATTTCAGAGATTTTTTGCAAATGAAAATGTGAACACATTAGCTTGGGGTAGCAAGCTAATACTAGAAGAAGGGTATATTTCCACATTTCCGGGGAGAAGCGAATGCTTCCAGTAGCACTGAGTTGCATATTTTTTCTGCAGTGAAATAAAAAGAGTAATTCTTGTATGGGTTGTGGTTTCAGGTACTATTTGCCTTGCTTTGACTGCATCTGTTCCCAGCAAGTGTGGCTTGCCTCACTGGTACAGATAAATACGTAATAAATGAAGTGCTGTGCCCCTCGAGCAAACAGACTCCGCTAACTCCGTGCCGGGTCTGATGAAGTGTGTCTGCCTGGCATTCCAAGGCGTGAATGAGTGGACAGCATCAGCCAGATAGGAGCACAGGCTTAGTTATGCTGCCGGAGGCAGAGTTGGTAGTGTCGGAACAAGGGTGGAGCAGGAGCCATCCTGGGAGGGGAGAAGGAAGGGTTGAAGGGCAAGGCAGAAAAGGGGACTGGAGGTCTGGATGCAAAGAGTCGTCAGTTTTGCCGGTTGTCTCATGGCAGGGGATTAAGGAGCCACTGGAGCATTACTGCTGGGCTGTTCCAGCATCGCCTTCTGAAAGTGCAGAATGCTTGCTCTTAGTGTGAAGTTCGTATTTGAGTTATATTGCTGTTACATATGTTAGCCTGCTTGAAGGGAGAGCTGATGGATGATCACCAACAGCAGAAAAATGCCCACTCTCCTCAGGTTCTTAACTTTTTCTTTGGTTGCCTGAGCCCACCCTCCTAGCCAACCATTTCTGAGAAAAATTGCAAATATCCTGTCCGATTTTCAGACTCGTACTGTGTCTGGCAATAGTGATCTATCAGTTTGAGGGTATCCGGTTGGTCCCCCAAGTTTCCCAGGATAGAGCTAAACTTTAAAATCCTGTTGGATAAAAGGATTGTGAAGCAACTCTATTCCTCACTCTAGTCTGACTGTCACCTTTTTCTTCATATGTATTTTTGAATTCAGTGCAAAGAGATTGTTAGATGCAAAATACTATAGGCATTAAATTGGAAGACCTCTCTGTCAAGCTCTCAATTTTTTTTTTTTCACATGGAGCTGATGGGAAAAGAAATTATTATTAGGAAGAAGAACACTTAGTAAGGATACTTGAAAATGGAATGGTGCTTAAGAGGCTTTGTCAATAAGCAGTTTCAGGCTGCGCTCTGAAGAATAGCTTGGATGTCCCAATGGATTTTTACAGCTATGCCAGTGAGTCTAATTACAGATAATACTTCTCTTGCTTAAGTCATGCTTCAGTTAGATTCTTACATCGGTGAGGCTGCTGTAACAGTAGTGCTAATATTGCTTTTTGTAATTTAGTTAATTGACTGTCACACATACACTGAAGTTACATATGTGTGAAATGAATAAATTGCTTCTTGTCTGATCAGATGGATCTTAATAGTTTGTGGGTTTATTTTTTTAGGGATTATGTGAGGAGCGAATTGGAATCAGGATATGAAGGGCCAATGTACTTGGAACCTCTCTCTATGAATCGTTTCATGACTGCTTTAGTAGGTAAGTCTTTTAAATATTTGTGATGCAGGAGAGAGCTCTGCCTAGTTCTCTTCATTGAAACCTATGCATGTTTTACCTCTTGGTTTCAAATCTCTCATCACTCTTAGTAGCTGTGATTCTCATTAATGTGCAAGAGGCATAGGAGGCTAGGGGTGTGCTGCCTGACTTTTTCTATGCCACTGATTTACCAGTGCTCCCGTACTTGCAGCTTTGAAGTATTTTCTGCGTCTGTCATGCTCTGCCCCAGTGTTCTTCTCAGACTCGCATTTTGATTCAGAAGGACTGGATTGTCTATAACAACCTTTAGGTAGAAAGTACTGTAGAAATTTCAATAATAATGTGCATTTGTAGTGCTTTTGTCAGTGAAAGTGTTTTACAAGTATTTATTCTTTATTGGCCTTAGAGATGAGCACTATCATTCTCTTACAAAAAACTGGTGAAGTAGATTTGTGGGTGTGTGCATGGGACTACAGGCTACTTTTTTTTTTTTTTTTAAATGGAGTCCCAGGGATATTTCTAATTGAAGAGTTAAGGAGTAACAAGTCAAAACTACATTTAAATTGGTTTTGATTAATGGCAGAGATGACTTCTCTGCCTAAAAATCTCAAATAAATCCTGAACAATTGGACTTTCTAGATTGTTCCCTTACCCTTTGAACTTTGATTGGAAGAGAATAAATTCAGCTTTAAGGTTGCTGCGCCATACCATATGCTCTACTGAGAGGATATTGGAATACACACACACCATGTGTATTTTAAAATTAAGCCTGAGACAAGCTTGGAAGAAAAATCTTCCTTAATTCCTTTCACTGAGGTCTATGGTTTTCATCAGATTATTGACAGATTTAGTCAGCCATGTACCGTTGGCAAAACTCTGCTGCTTTCTGTTTACTTGCAGCTGCTACTGCCAGATACAAATGGGTTTACTTCTTTATAGTATGTTAGGTCTACCAGAATATATACATCTCCTGTTTGCCTGCATCCTTACTTTCAAATGTGGCATTTGTCTTTGCTTTTAATATTTTTAAATAGAAATAACATTGGTATTTTTCAAGGAAAGGAAATCTACTGTAGATATAATTTCTTCTCTCCGCTGAATTTTTAGATATATTATATTTTGCTGTCTTGTCAAATGACGCCAAAGTACAGCTAAAGCCTTTAGCATGTTTCTGTGAGAAAATGTTTGTAACTAGTCCTTTGAATCTTTCTCAGGTGCAATGCAGGGTCCCATGATAAAGCAGACTCCATCAGAGCTTCACAAAACAGCAGGCAGGCCTGGACAGGAAGAGATGAGGCATTGTGTCATTCGGTAATGTTTAGACAGAAACTAAACTGAGAGTCAAACCCATTATGCTTCATCCAGGTTTTAATGTGGATTAAAAATAAGAGAGAAAAAAAATATTGTTTTTATCCAATACAGTTTTGGATTGTACTGGGTGTCAGTCTAAAGTGTGCCCTCATTGTAGTTGTTTTTCAGAAGTAGGTGCTTGACTATCCTAGCAAATGTGTGTACGTTAACATACTTAATATCCCCATTGTTAATTTCCCCTGTTCTTTTAAAGTCAACTTGAAAGTGTAATTTTAGTCTTGATGGCAAGCGGTTGTCTTTGGGGAAGACCTGTGAAAGTGGACTATGAGGCTTGACAGTATTTTGTATAAATATGAAATACTTTCTCAAATTTGTTACACCCAGAGGTATTTATCCAGTGCAGTCTGCCTTGTCTCAGAAGTGTACTGCACTGAACTGTGTCATCTTTACAGCAAAATGAACATAGAGGTGCTTTGCTCCATCTTTTTCTTACATGTTCTGCCAGAGTGTTGTGCTGCAGCAATGTTGACAGAGGCCCTGAGGCAGGTCCATGGAGAAATAATGGTGCTACTCATACAGCTCTGGTTCCTAAAAGTTCTGGTCAGAATTAAGGGGATGATGTACAGTACGTCAGCTGGTTCACAAATTTAATGTTTGTTAATGCTTTTATTCATTAGTGCTTTTTGAATGGGCTCCCATAGTCATTTCTTCCCCTGCATCTAATTCAGTCTGATGACTGTTGACTAGGGTTGCTAATACGTTCCTAAGTGCTGGATGGAAGAAATAAATGTCTTTGAAGACTGCCCCTTGGATGAGTGTGCCACTTTGTGAGCTTGTCAGCTGTGAACATTGCAAAACTGCGTGGTTTTGGAAGTGATGCTACCATGAAGACTTGCTTTTTCTCAGTGCACAATAATGGGATTATATAACTTTGAGAGACCCTGTTTTTTGAGTAACAGGTAATGACGTAGCCAGGGAATTTGTTAACATCGGCTTTTTAAAATTGGGAATGAAGTAAAGACAGTTCCCTACTCAAAGTGGCTTGAACAGCAGCTGTACTGCACAGGCTTTCTTGTTGCACATTTTTTCACTAGCTTACGAGCTGGGAGGCTTTGACTACCTGTCAACAATGTTTAATGTGTTTGTGGAGGTTTTTGGGAAGGGAAAAGAATGGACAGGGGCTTATGGCAATAGATTTCTTCCTTATTGCCTCATTCCCTAACAGAGGAGCCTGGTGTCCTGCAGGAGGATTCCAGCTGTTGAGCTCATTAGCTGTGTCTGGCAGTTTTCAGTCCACGGCATATAAGTTTACAGAGTGCAAACATTCAGCTGGATTTGCTCGTCTTAGCAGATAGCTAGAGTGTTAAAATATTTTTATGATTTGATGTGACATACAAATTAACTTCTTCTGACTGATCCTGGAGATAAACTATGATTTACTGCAGAGAGGGATTGCCCGTACTGAACTAGAGCACTGCTACCCTAGTTGGAAATGGGAAGTACTAGTCACTAAAAGCTCTGTTGGAGACATTTTCAGGCCCTTCTTGTGAAGGGGCTCAGAATTGACAAGGTGCAGACATCAAGGAGGAGATTGGGGCTTCCAGAGAAAGTGCTCCATGTATTTCCTTTGATGGTGTACAGCTCTCCTTCCCATGACAAGTAACTTTTGATCAGTGTTTAAATTAAAAAGGTGGAAGGGTCAGAGAGTTTAGCCAGGATGACCAGCATATTTAGGACATTGCTGTTGGAGGAAAGCTGGTTTTGCTGTTGCATGAGATGAGACTGAACTCAGAGGTCCTATTTCCTGATTGGAGAGCTGCAGAGACATCCCAAAGAGTGCTGGATTGTTCAGCGTGATGTTGTCGCAATATTTTATTTTTGATGATGGCACTTTTACTAAATCCTGAAGAACATATTGGATGCTGGTATTTGTATCCCTTTGTGTGTGAAACTGGGTTGCCTTAGTTACCATGAGTCGCAGAAATCCTCGCAAGCTGACTGTGCCAGGCTCCTGAATATTACAGCACAGCAGTGTGCTGGTGGTATCTTAAATAGGGTTGTAGCAACGTGTGTGTGGGCAGAGAACAACAAAGCGGAGGGAGAATGCTTCAGAGCTGGAGTCTGTTAAACTTCTAAAAAGATGAGTAGACTAACTTTCTCTGAGGCTTATAAGATCTAGTGTGCTGATAGTGCCTTGCTGAGAGCAAGGGTGCTTGTTCTGAAAAGATATCTGATAATTCAAAAATACATTTAGCAAAATGACAGTAGGACTTAAATTTGAAAGAGGACAGTGTGAAGGAGCAAGAACTTCGTATGCTTAACTAATAGAGATGAGAGATTGCTTTCAGCTCAGTTGCAGTTATTTTGAAAGCAGAAGTCCTTTCCTAGGTAGGGAAGCTGGGTGGAATGAAAGCAAAACCCTGGTACTGCTATTTCTCCTCTTGCAGCTTCCCTCCCCAACCCATCTAGAAGGGCTTACAAGGTCAGTAAGCTTATTTGAACACATGGAGTTAGCGCTGCCTGAGACATGTTAACAGCCCTGATTTTGTTACTCTGTGTTTTACTAAGGCTAACTCCTGGTTTTGGGAAGAGTTGTGAAATGCAAGCGTTAGCAGAGGTAGCTCCAAAACAAAGCATAAGCACTTGGGTTTAGTACCCTGTATTGTAGCTTTTGGATATAAGTGAACATCAATGGTGAACAAGGTTCTACTTTTAAATAATATGCAATAAACATTTTCCTTACTGCAAAATGATGAGTGAGAATTGTTCTTATCCAGGCAATGTGCGTTTTGCCCCATTCTGTTTCCTCTGAGCTAAAGGGTACAACTTCAGTGACTCTACTGGGAGCAGTTATACTGGAGTGGTCTACTCTAGAAATGCCACCCTCCAAATCTCTGGGTGCGTGGGAAAGATGTGCTCATGCTTGTGTCCCTGCCAACTGTTAAAAAGAATTTACTTGATAATTATCTGTCACTTGCAAACTTCAGTGATAATTTTGAGCAACTGCCTCAGGGCATTATGAAATTAGTGAAGTCTCAGCTGCTGACCTGGCTGTTCTCCTGTTGCTGATCTTGGCCAGTAATTCCTCTTGACTGTATAAATACAGTTGCTCTAAAAGCCATTTGGGACCTCCGATTACTTCTTTGCATAGATCGGGATGAAATAGTATAGCTGGGCTTCAGAAAAGCTACTGCTGTGTATACAAATACTGATGGGATTTAAGTTGAGCTGGGGTTAAGGAAAAAGAGGGATGACTTGTTGGGTTATCCTCTACATGATTTATTCCTGGGACTTCATATTAATCTGAGTATAATTCTGCATGTGTTTTGGGTTTACATCTCAGTAATCTGTAAAGTGAAAGCGTGCACTTTGCAGAGTTTGAAAATGGTGACTTTTGTGACCCAGCAAAAGATGCGGAGGAGCCTGGTTTCATAACAGGTATGTCCTAGTTAGACCTGTCATAATATGCTGGATGCTGATAACTGTGTTATGGAAAGATAACGTATGAAAATACTTTTTTTCCTGAAGGGGATAATCAGCTTGATTATAAAAGACTCTGTCGCGTTTTCAGGTCAGCTGGTGGTATGTACGCTCTGCTCCTGCGTCATGAAAACAAAACAGATCTGGCTTTTCTCTGCTCACATGCTCCCTCTGCTGGCACGACTTTGCCTGGTCCCTTTGGAAACCATCGTCGTCATCAACAAATTTGCCATGATTTTCACTGGTTTGGAAGTTCTCTACTTTCTGGCATCAAACCTTCTGGTGCCCTATAACTTGGCAAAATCTGCATACAGGGAGCTTGTCCAGGTAAGATGGAAAAGGTAACGATTTTATTTTCCTTGACCTGAGCCTTTATTGCAGGAAAGAAACAAAAAAAACTTTGGCTGTCTTCTGTGCAACTGTGTGTGTGTGTTAACTGATTCTTTCGTAGCAAACCAATATGTTCCTATCTATAGCATCTTCTTTCTTTAATTTATGGTAGTTTATAATTTGTATGGGTGAGCAGTTAAGCCTGAATTATGCTGCTGGCCAGCTGAGTATGTCCACTTTGCTTGAACTTTGCTTAGCCCTTCCCAAATCCAGGTTAAAGGACAAGATTGTGGCAGAATGAAATTTATTTACGGCCTTGTTAAATGAGCAAGGTAATCCCCATGCATGTAGTAGCTGTTCATTTCAAGAAGTACCTTCTGTATGAGGAGCATTTGTAATTATAGTAGTGTTGAATTGGGAGTAACAGTAAAGCTGATTTTGACTCTAATAATCACTGACTTTCAGTGATTTCTAACTTGCAGACAGTGTTTTGAAAGATCTGTAGTAGTTGCTTTAGAACTCTAACAAAAGAGTTAGCAGAAACAGAAAAGACTGATCTGACTTGTATCCATTTTGTTAACACTTTGATATCTGATATATATTTAGTTGAAAAGACACTTTGTTAGTGGTACAGAAACATCACACCTCATTTTTATATAAAAATAAAACACGTGTATATGCATCTTTCTGTATATTTCAGTATAAGAAGATGGATGCTTGCTTGACTCTTGACTGACTCGCTATTTCAGCACTCACTAGTTGCTGAATTTTTTTCAAACCAAGCCACTGTGTTTCTGCCTGCTGCTTTTCAGTCCAGAAGCAGTCTGAAAACTAACTTGTTAAGCTCTTTCAAAGCCCTCTTTAAAAGCTCTTCTTTGCTGTCATATCTGTCATTCACAAACAAAAACTTGGCAGCAGTAGATGTCTGGTGTGCCAAGGTCTCAGCCTGTCATGTTGATAATTACTGTCTGGTTATTTATTTTGTATGTAATTGGTCTTTGGAGCAGGATTATCCTTCTGTGTTTGTACAGCACCTAGCATGGTCTGATCTCATCCATAACTAGCTTGTAGATTTGCTGATTAAAAACTAATTCAGGAGCTAACTGGCAAAGCTTCAACATGCTTGTTTTCCAGTGAGAATAGGAAAATCATGCTTACTGTTTACTTAGAGTGGTAACATTTGGGGTAAAATAGTTGCACGTCTTTGTACAGCTTGAAGGCTTGCAACAGGTTGGAATCAGCACTTCCACTTTCCACATGCATGAACAGATGTAGAGTTTAGGTTCCTGGAGTCAAATTCAGATCAGATGCAGATTTGGGAGTCATGTATCTATTTTTTATTAGATGCTTATGTTTAAAACACTTCAACGTCTTATGAATGTTGTAATTGCAAATATGTTCTGAGGTGAGGGGGAAAATAGTTGTTTTTTGTTGATTTTTCTGTTTGTCAGAATTGTAGTCTATATACAACTGTTAGATAAGTCTCCTGGTCTCTGGGATTGCTTATTATTTTCCTACTTGTATTTCCATCACTGTAGCTTTGTTCAGTTGTTAGTTTTCAATGATGCCTTCATGCTGGTGTTTGTGAGTTTACTACTCTTTTAGACTGGATTTGATTGCTGTTCTGATATCAGTGGCAAAACTTAGTGAATGTTGGGACGTCAAACAGTAGGAGTGTTTCCTGAGGCAGCCCTAACAGATGGGCCAAGGCAGTTTTTTGTGTTTGTGTGTATTTCAGACTGTGGCTAATGGTATCATTTAAAAGCAGGGCCAGAACCGTGGCTGCCTGCTTGCAGCAGAAGATGCCAGAAATACCTCACAGTTATGAATCTACGTTATGAGCGTAGCATGACCCTTTTCCGATGTGGTGGAACACTCTGCTGGGAGCTGCCAGGGTTGCTTGCGTTGGTCCCAGGCCAAGGGAGAGGCCAAGCGAGTCTCCTGAGGGCAGGTGCACTTCCTTCACAAGTCTCTGCAAAGCTAAAGGCAGGCGCTTGGCACCACATCCCTGCCAGCAGCATACTGCTTGTTGATCAGCCACCGTACATACTGTAGCGGGTCCCAACTTAATATCCCTCATGCATGTCATGAAAGACTAAGTAGGCAGCTTTCTTAGCGTTTGCTTAAAATTTGCTAGCCACTATGGATTGTGTCATTGTGGGAAGCAGGTGACAAGGAGCTAGTAGTTATGAGTGGTTTCCTTTTCTATTAAGTCCAGCTATATGGAGTTCCAGCTTCTTGGAAATAACTGCATTATGACTTAGTCTTTGCAATACAAAAGAAGTAATTTAAGCTTCAGAGTCTTCTGAAACAACTCTTAAGCGTGAATTTCAAAAGACTTGGTGGATTAGGAGCAGTCAGAAGTCTGGTACATGTTCTTTTTGAGATACTTAAACATAAAATGTCTGAGGTATTAAGTTTTTCCTTAAAAATAGGTCAACAAAGGAGATTTACTGTGCCGAAGTGATGTGGCTTGTATTTCAGTATCTAGTGTGTGCACTGACTTGGCGGTAGCTACAGAGAAAACAACATTGCTGTGGCTTAAGCTGGGCAAAAGGTCTGAGAGGGTTGTGCATGAACTGGAGGCACACGTCCTCGTCCCTGTGGCTGTGAGTGGGCTGCAGTCAGCAGCTCCAAACCAGTTATTCATAGGAAAGGGCATTCAGCTGGTCTGACAGTTTGCACAGTCAGGTACTTCTCCATTCTTCAAGACGGACAGCGATAGAATGT